ACCACTGTGGTCCTTTGACTTGTTGACTTGTGTTGTCCTGCAGGTGAGCAGCCTGATGGAGGACGGTCAGGCTCATCTCTCTGAGTCTCTGCCTGCTGCTCTGCAGGATGGAGGGCAGCTCGACCGGCTCGCTGAGTTCCTCTGCTCCTCCGATGAGTCCCTGAGAGAGCCGTCTGAGCAGACGATAGTGGCATGAGATGAACCGGGAGTGCTGCTGTTGGCCCTGTGTGTTGCTGTTCGGGGACTCAGCATGTTGTGGCAGTAGAATTACGCTGACCTGTTGCTTAGTCTTATAGCTGCAGTTATTATGATGGGAGACAAAAGGATTCTGGGTACATTTATGTGTCCTGCATTTAGGACCACTGGGAGTCAAAGTAATGGTCAGACTAAATTGTCTTTGTGTTCATCACCTGTTCTGTATTTTGATCCTGGGTATTTCTTTAGTTTTCTATAACTGTTTTTTCTCCTGCTGTTGGACAGAACATTTCCAATCCTGTATTCTATCATTGATTTAAGACGTAGTTCTAATGGTCTGCTTTTAAATTTGATCAGGTGTTGTACTAATTTTCTGTCATGCCACATTGGTTTTACTGGTCCAGTTACCTGTCTGTAGAAGGAGGAGCAAACCTTTAGTCTTGAGGACAGGAAGAAGATCCTGGTTGGCTAGAAACCTTGTATTGGTAGTAAATCATGAAAGGACCATTGCTCATCTTAATTCTGGCTTTGTGCAAAGACTAAATAAAGTTCTTCAGTGACTGTGGTGTTGTGGTGTTTAGTTTGAATCTCCAACTCTGAGAGGACACAAGTTTAAACCTCCAGACTAACATGTTGCGGAGGAAGAAATAATTCAGGCTTTAATGAAGTTAATTTTCTGCTTCTTAACAGTCAGATGGATAAGTCAGAGTTTACAATGCATATTCTAGCATGTTTATCGTGAATGGAAATGATGTACCATCTTAAGATTTGTTTTATTTTGCTTTTGTGTTGCATTTAAATTTTTATTTACATTTTGTGCTTGCAATATGTATTTGACTCCTTGTGTGTTGAGCATGAAGGATGTAACAACACATCTGTTGTATAGGAACCCTCCCCAGAGCTCTCTGCAGGGAGCTGCTGTGAACTTCCTGTCCTCCCCCATCTGGCTGTGGAGCCAGTGAAATCTAATCCTGTAAAGAGGTAATCCCGCGGGGCTTTTAGAAGACGGGCTAAGTCCTTGTAGCCCCACTAGCTGCTCCACACAATTCATAACACATTAAAAAGCTGACAGCTTCACCTCTGACCCTCCGTCTTCAGTTGTCCAACTGCCTTCTCAAGTATTATTCTGGCACAGCTGGACTCCTCTGAGAGCGCAGGGATTACACCGCCACTGCTTTGCCACAACTGTCGTCTGTTCAAATCCCCAAAGAGGTCGATGTCCATCCACAAGTTCACATATAACTTCACATGTATGCACTCCGGAACACACACAGATGTATATGTGCTCCCTGAAGACTTCTGTTCAGCTAAAAATAATACCAATTACATTTGGCCTGTGATCATGGCTGCATCCGGGAGCATTTACAGTGCAGATATCTTTAGTTTGAGTTATGCAACTTATGATTTGAATAGAGAGATCGGGAATTACAGTTGGCAGATAAAAACTGACAAAATTAGTTTCTTTGGTGCTATTTCATATTTGTTTTTAAACTTCTTACGAATGTTCACTTTTGTCATTTCAAATCAAGAGAAAGCCAGGGAAGCAGCACCCCTGCTCTCACCTTTATTATTTCTTTGTTTTTATTGAGCCAGTGAGGAATTAACCAACGTATCCTCATTCTATAATGGTTCCAACACACTCTCACTCCGATCTCATCACATACTGATGTTTAATCATGGACTTTCCACGTCCAGATATGATGTGCAAGGTTCACTGAGTGTGTTGGTTTCTGACATTCTGGGACGCCGGCTCAAATTCTGCCTGTTACATGCATTGTCTGTTTTCAAAATACACTTCTGTTGTCACAGGAAATTTAACATTTACATACAGTCTCTTTCAAAATAAAAGCACTACGTTAGTAGAAAACTGCGATTTTTTTTTCCTTCAACAACAAACACACATGGTTG